CCAGCGGCGTCGCACGCGCCAGCTTACTAGTACTGCCGCTAGGTAGTAGGTCGTGGACAAGAGCATTAGCGGACGAGATCTCGCATTATATTCCTGGAATGATTGCTGATCCGTGCTTTGGCGTGGGTCGCTAGTGTAGCGTGCTTGGGTCTCTTTTTTCTATTTTCATGCCGCCCAAAGTGAAAAAAAAAAGGTGCCAGAACGAACGAACCTGATTCCCAACCCTGCTCTGCTGCTTCAGCCCGGCACTTGACACCCACACACTGCAACTGTACAATTTACAGGGAAAGTTCACAGGAAACAAGTTAGTTGTACAATTTATAGGGAAAGTTCACAGGAAACAAGTCAGTTCCTGCGAGGTTGGGAGAGAGAGAAAAACTGTGTTCAAGATGGGGCTCAGCTGCAGTAACAAGTAACAGCACCAAGACAAGTTTCGGTACCTTTGTCTGAATATACGAAGAGGCAAAGATCACCAGCCTCAGCCTTCGTTCCTTGGTCCTGCCTGACCAATATGCAAGTGCCTTTTCTTCCTTTCCAACCCCATCTCACCAAACGGCCACCATACCAAATACTCCATGCTAGCTACACGATCATGGGCCATCACAACGGTGTCCATCTAGTCATCAGTAGTGGTCGCCCCAGATCTAGGCAATGCCTGAACCTGAAGCTTCAGGTGCAGCCTGGGTATATCTCCTGAACACGTGTAGCCTGCTGTTACCTGTTACAGTTCATGGCGTAGCAATTGAACTGCCGTGTCTCCATGCAAAGCCTGCGCTCAATGGATTAAGCGCCTTCATTAACTGCAATATAATGTACAGCCTTAAGTCTTGGAGCTCTACAACCATCTGGCTTGGCAGAGAAGCAAAGCCAAAGGCACGCCACACAGGGAGACTGATCTGCAGCAATTTCTCACACGCCACCTTGATAACAAACTTGGCTCGCTTTTCTGAATGCTGAAGTGACTCGGACACTCGCATGCTAATCTACAGTTGCTGCAGCTGACAGCGCCCGAGGATTCAGAATTTCAGATATCAGATTCTGGGGGCACTGTAGCTCAGTTTACAAGAATGTAGCTACAGGGTCATAACATGGGCGTCACCTTTTGCTTTCTTCCCATGAAGCGGACAGCTCCCACTGCATGGCTTCTCCAGTTCTCCTTTGGCAATGTGTAGCCGCTCACTACCGAGCGTGAGACCCAGAGAAGGCGAAGTGGCCGCTTCCATCAGCAGAAGCCTACGTGCAGACTCTCAAGATCATCCAACTTGCAGCCCAGGGCTCAGACCAACTCCCACTCCCAGTGCAGACGCACTATGCATAGGATGGGGAAACAGGCAGGCATGCCCGGCCAACAAGTGCAGATCAAGACAGCACAATCTGGGAATCGGATTACGACCCGTCACCAGAGCCATTCATGAACCAAGATGCATGCGATCCTGTCCTGTCCAAGCAGTAGCACAACAGGGGAAAGAAAAGGTAAAGGAGTAGCCCATACAAGGATTAACAATTGTCCCTGTTACACATATATGGCCAAGCCAACATGTAGGGGCTAGCCGGCTAGAAGAGCACCCACAAAACCAACCGCACAGCAATAACAAACTCGGTTTATTTTAGCAGCATGGCTCTCCACGATAAGGAAGCATGCAAATTTTCAACACCAAATAAACTCAAGGCACTAACCTGGATGGGAGTGAGTGACATCCCTCGTGACTTGATGTCAACACCAAGAAATAAATCATTTACTAGGCAAACTGTGACAGAGGATGTCCTTTTAGCATGCATGGCTCCATCCACTTGCAAAGTTGCTCCACAATGCTAGTGATCAAAACTCAGTGCTTCCACCGTTATAACCTGTTTACACGCCATAACGAACTTTTATTATAATCAAGGTTCAGTAAGATTCGTGCCAACAGGCATGATAGAGACACACTTGCTTTTACAAATTACAGGGAAGAAATCGATGTAAATACTTTATAACCATGGCAGTCGCTGTAACCAAGCACCAAGTTTCATTATAAAGTAACCACAGTGCTTACCCAATGAACTTACCATGAAGTGATCAAACTTGACTGCAAGAAGAGATGGACAAGCAAGCTTTGCATCTCCATGGTGATTGCCATGGCTCAAAATCAGAGCCCTTTCAGGTCATAGTTACACTGTTTCTCCCTATCCTGAGGAGTTACTACAACAGCTGTCTGTTGGCCATTTGAAATAGAAAACTCTGCCTTCCAATTTGCACGATAGAATATGAATCGTAGAACGATTCAGTTGACCTCTATGACTCTGACTTCACTTGTTTCTATGTCATCTTTTGTACATCCAAAGCAATACCAGCTAGCATTAAATATTTTAACATTAGCACTCACAGCTGCAGATGTCTATTACGGTCATTATGCTGACAAACAGCAACTAACTAAGCAATACGGAACTGGAACACATTAAAAAGAAAAATACAAGCTTCCTTGTTCAGTCAGTGTAACTAAAAGCAGTGACTTAACATCTTATCAATCAGGCTTCAGTACAGGTTTAATGTCCGATCTAACATTAAGCTGCCAAGAGCCCAAGCAAGCCTGGGCCAGGCCAATGGCAGTACCAGTGGATAAGCCCACTGAATCTGTGCAGGAATGAACTTACTGGCAATCCACACCAGGTTAAATACTAAATCCAGTTCCACCAATGGGAGATTAAAAAGCTCATAAATCCAAATAGTAACTACCAAGTTTTGTTTCCATTAATCACGAAAATGAATACTTAAGGGCAAAACTTCTAAAATGGTCTTGCAGATACAAAAAAGAAAGTGAACAAAATGAAGTGTTGTTGGTAAAAAAAAAAAACTGAAGCGACCTATCAATTAAATCCAATCCAAAATAAAGGACCAAATTAGGAAGATGTTCAAAGGTTCTCAGTAATCATTCCAGAATTCTGAAGCTGTAAGCTGGCAGCTGACAGAACTTAATGGCATATTTGGCGATGAGAAGAGCTACCTTGTATATTATGTAAACAACACGGAACATTGTTCTAGTAACCAGGGTAGAGCTACAGTTTGTCACCGGGGTCAGTCAACCCCGACAGATTTTTAGGATTCCAATGGGAAATTAGTGCATATAGTGCTAATAGTTCCTAATGACCCCACCTATTTTCAAACAAGACCCCGATGATCATCTGGCCTAGATTCGCCCCTGCTAGTAACAAACTACCATTGTCAAGTGTGCTCCTGCTTCTCCCTCCCTCCCTCCCTCCCTGTCATGTACGGGCGAACGTACACGCGCACGCGTCGGGATAGAGACATCCGCAGGGCCGCGGCACGCGCGGCGAACGCGGGAGCAGAAGGCGCCGCGGTGACCGCGGACATGCATCAGGGACACGGCGCGATGGGTGGCTGATTTTCCTAAAGATAGTTATCAATTATGATTTGTTAGTTCCTTTATTTAGCACCTTGATTCTAGGAGTTTGTTGCTCCCGTGTGGTTAGGGCCGATGGCCATATATACTCTGTAAACCGGAATTGGAGAGGTAAGAAAAAGATCAATTATCTAATCTCTCTCTCTCCCGTTCTCAAGCCCAGGCGCCGTGAGGGGCATAACCTCCGCTCTGGAAGACACGGCACGAGACTACGAACTGCGTAGTCGAGGGCCAGCTACCCTAGATCGCTACGCCCTTGACACTCCCTCCTCTCAACAGTTGTAAAATTTGAAAACACATCCTAGTTCAAACATTAATGCAACTGGGCTCTTTCTTCTAATATGCAATACTTCAACGGAATCTTCAAACTACAAAGTGAGTAGAGTAGTGACTTACAGTCTCAGACAATGTAAAAGAGGCACCCAGTCAAATGATCAGGTATTGAAGAGATACCAGGCGACTAATAGAAGGATGAAGGAGAATTCCAGGGTCACAGGGTCAAGAAGAGAAGGATTTTGAACATTCAATTCCCATCAGATGTACAATATGAGATACTTTTATACAAAGCCCAGATCAACTTCAAGTCAGCAATAAATGAAATGGAATAATAATAATAAAATAGTGGTACCAGCTAATTTCAAAATTACCATAAGTGTTTAGTACAAGGCTAAAGAGAAAACTGGGACCTGGACCTGTTTCTAAAAAATTGGAATGTCCTAATATCTCAGCCCAAGTCAAAACTCTGAACTTCTGATATGACCTCATCGCAGTCCTAGTCTAGATATGTAATAAAATTATATAAAATGACGAAAGTGGGCAGGTTTCTTGAGGACAATAGCATAGTCGCGTACTCTGCATAAATTAAGCACCATTACAATTCACAACACCAAAGTACACAAGTCGGCCTTTAATGTGAAACATCCATCATAATATTCCATACATATGCAACAAGAAGGGGACACAACAAGAGACATGTGACTAGGTGACCTGACACTAAGGTTCTGTTTGGAATTGGGGAATTAGATCCAAAGTCCAAATCCTTGTAAATCCTAGAAGTTTGTAGAGCAAACCCCATTGTTCCAACAGGCCCTAATGCAAATTACACAGCTTAAACAGCATCTGCAACTCCCTCTAGGTGATTTTGTGGCAACAGAATATTTGTTTTCCAGAGTGAAGTAGCAAACATAGGAAACATCACACTTGAATATTAAGTCAACATGTTTTCTGCCTCTTAAAAAGTAGGTGTTCCTATAGCATAAGAGCATAGTGAAAGTATACAGATGATCTTGAGCAAGTCAGAACTCAGAAGTACATTCAGTATCATAAGGTCACTTTTAACAATGAAAACAAAGTGAACATCTAGAATTGAAACAGCTCATCTCAATGATTGTGTATAAAGTTTAAGGCAAAGCCAAGCTGCATTGCTTAACATACACAGGGTTGTTGTCAATACCCAATTACAGTAAGACAAAATGTAGCCAACTCAAAAGAAGAAACAAAAGGATATGGACTAAAGATATCAGTCTATGCCACTTGTCCTGTGGTGGGACATACAACACCAATATCACCATTGGCACGGAGGAGATGCCAATCCCTAACCCCTCATAGCTCAAATTCATCATCCAACTTTAGCGCCTCAGCTGCAGCCTCCTCTTCCTCATCATCAATGGCAAAGTATGGGTTATGCACCTCAGGCCGGAACTTGTACCCAGTAAAGACATAGAACGCGAACGTCGCGAGCTCCCCGGCCACGACGCTAGTCCACAGGTACCGGTATGAGGTGATGGTCTGTAGCGCATACACCACGACACGCGTGAAGTAAATGTAGCAGATGACGACCACATAGTACTGGCGGAACAGGGTGAGCTTCATGAGGTTCACGGCAGCCTTCCCGTCCGAACGAGCAGCCTCCCGGAGGTTCTTAATGGACCACACAATCGGGAAGAGCACGGCACAGCAGCAGACCACATCGACCAGCAAGAAAATCTGCTTCCAGGTGACCCAGTCCCGAGCATAGGGTCCAGATTCGTCAATCACCACCTGCGCGATGTTAGCTACGACCTGCAGGGGGATGACCACCATAAGCACCTTCTTCTCTCGGTCGGCCAGGTAGGGCTTGAGGAAGGACCAGCCGGTGCCGATGAGCACTATGAGCGTGAAGAGCGAGATCCCCTTGAGGAAGCTGAAGATGTAGAAGAGCACGTCCCATCCGTGGGCGGTGCCGGTGCGCTCGATGCATGACTTGTCCTCGGCCTCGGCGAGGAGGTTGAGCGCCTTGAGGACGAGCACGGCGAGCATGAAGTAGTGGATCCGGAAGACGGCGGCCCGCTTGCGGAGGAGGATGGCGACCCAGGCGGCGGCGAGGCCGGCGTAGGCGAGGCAGAAGAGGAAGTAGAAGGAGGGCAGCGCGGAGGCCCCCGCGGAGAGGTACTGGCGCTCCCCGGTGGCCGGGTCGACGTTGTACATGGCGGAGCGGACGTCCATGTCGACCTTGAGGCCGCCGCCGAGGCAGTTGGCGAAGACGAGCGTGTACTGGCCGGGCTCGTTGACGCGGAAGGCGGTGGAGAAGGAGGAGGAGCGGGCGACCTCGACGCCGGCGGGGTTGGAGGGCGGGCGGAGGCGGTCGAAGGAGAAGGCGAGCTTGACGAGCTCGGACTGGAGCGCGCAGGTGACGTCGAGGTCCTGGAGCTGGCGGAGGACGTGGACCCAGGCGTCAAGCGTGGAGAGGAAGAAGCCGAGCTGGGAGAGGTCCAGCTCCGCGGAGGCCTGCGGGTCGAAGGCGATGCCGGAGACGTTGAGCTCCAGCACGCCCGAGTGGGAGAAGCCGAACTCGTCCAGCGGGATGATGCTGCGCGGGTCGGCCCGGATCCCGGTCTCCCGGATCTCGGCCGCCACGGGCGGAACCGACACCATCGCGGCGACGAGGAAGAGGAGGGCGGTCAGGGAGGGCCTCCGGAGCGCCGCGGGGCGCGGCAACGGCGAGGCAGCCATTATGGGTGCCGCCGCGATCTGGGGGGCCGGGGGTTGGGGCGATAGGCGGCGGTGGTGCGGTGGCCGGTGGTGGGATTTGGGATTTGGAGGGTGAGCGAGCGAGCGGCGCGTGGGGAGGGGATGGCGTGGTGGGTCGGTAAAGGCGACGGACGCGCTGCTGGGTTGTTGACAACTCCGGGTCCGCAGTCCGCTCCGCCTGGCGAGTGGCGACAACGCGCGGCGACGCAGCACTTCGCGCCTCGTGGCTCGTGCCTTGTACGTCTCCCTTACATTTCGGGGCGTTTTTTTTTAAATATAAAATGTAGAAAAAAGAGAAAATAATTATGCTTAGTTTAGCTTGCTCAGAAAATGAACACGATTACACAATGATCCGTAGAAAATACCGCTGCAAATTGCCCAACAACTCGTTCTCACGGTTCTCACGAGTTTCGTCCAATTTGTTTCTAGGTATTATGTACTCGCTCCATCTTGATGCATGCCGATCAAACTTTCTCAACTTCAACTATATTTATAAAAAATATAACAAAATTTATATCTTCAAATAAATTTATTATAAAAATATATTCAATAATTTATCTAATGTTACTAATTATGCATCATAAATATTAGTACTTTCTTATATATAATTGGTCAAAGTTAAAATATTTGACTTCTCGAAAAATAAAAATGGCATTTGTCGGATTCATAAACCCGGAGTCCCTCGCGGACCGGCTTCCCAACGAAGGCTCGGCCCAAACAGACAACGCGCAACTCATGGCCGGCCAAAGTATCGGAACGACAGGCCAGGAGGGCGATCCAATCACCGATCGGAAGGCCTGGCCGAGGAGGAACGGCACCCGCCTTCCGACTCTGACCCACCTCTCCGACCGAAGCGCTCGCTTCGGTCTCCAGCCCGCCTCCAAACAGCCTCTTCGACTGGAAGGCCTGGCCAAAGCACTACTTCCGACTCCGACCCCACGTCTCCGACCGGGGTACACTAATACCTTGCTCACTGCTCTTTTCCGACTAGCTCAATCAGAGCCGACTGGGACCAACTGACCGAGGACGCCCGCTTAGAAAGGACCAGGGAACGAACGGAGAAAGCAAGGCATGGCGCACAAGTCAAACCATGATACCAGGGACCGTACCCTGTACGTCTGCAGAAACAGTACTCTGCGACCTCCCTGACACACAGTATTGTAGGCGCCGACATTTTCTCTACAGTATTGTGGGCGCCATTAACTCCCATACGGTAAGGCTCCCCCCATATGCATCTAGGCATCGACAGTGTTGTGGGCGCCGGCATTTACCGTGTCGAGTGAACATGGTGAAACTCCTCACATGCCTCTGGGCATCAACAGTATAGCAGGTACCGACATCTGCCATACCCGAACAAAACGATGCAACCTCCCACGTGCATCCGATATCCAACAGTGTTGTGGGCGCCTACCATCATCCTGTACCCGCCGGCGTGGGTAACAAGACTTAGAAGCATTCGTACTCTCTCCCTCTCACTTATAAGGCCATCCCCTTCATCTATAAAAGGGGATGCGTTCTCTCCCAAGAAACTTAGTTGATCCAGGTCGATCTAAGTGCTTCCAGATTCATCAGATCGATCAAGTTCACTAGCTCACAACCGCAGAACCGCCAGGTTCGGACCTCAAGCACACGCTTAAACACTTAGCTCATAGCGGAGCTCCTGTCGCTCTCGGCCCTTCCGACCGGAGCTGACCGGACCTCTTGTACCCTCCATCTTTCTCCTTCTCGTTTGTAACCCCACTGCAAACTTCGAGCACTTGGGCTCAGGAATAAAGTCACCGACCGACTCAAACTGGACGTAGGGCACGTTGCCTGAACCAGTATAAATCATGTGTCATTGAGTGCTAGGCCACCTCCGATCACAACGTACGGTAAAACTATAAATATTTACTTGTTGGTCACTTTCTACACCGACAACACTTGTTTTGGAATGAGGGATTAGAACATATGGCTTTCAATAACACTCTTTTAAAAAATCTACTTAAACACCATACACACATGGGCCCGTTCTGTCATTATCTCGAGGTTAGGTATCTTAATGCACGCAGCCCACTCGTCCTGTCTTAGTTTGTCTTCTTAGCCTTCCTAGCTCCCTCTCATTCGCTCTTTTTTTCTCCCAACTCTATTGTTGTAACCGAGCAAATCCAGCGATCTTAAGGTGCGGGTTGAGCAGATTTAGTGAAGTCTAATAACCCCAAGCAATGCTAGTGGTTAGGGTTTTGGGTTGATGATGTGTTCTCCAATTGTAAAAGGGGGCCGAAGACCGACGAACCAACAGTGGTAGCGATCGAGACATCCATGGGGTGCGCGGGTTATCGCAACGCCGTCCGTTGGCGATGGGAGAGACCGGTTGAGCGGTGCCAACGACGAAGGCATTGGCTTGAGAGGGAGAAGATGGATGCTATGATCAGAGCTAACGGCAGAGGAGGCGACATTTCGTTGCCGGAGCCGATAGAGGTGGGTCACTTATGCATAGTTGAGGAAGATCGTTGGGACTACAGTCAGCAACTATGGGGCGTAAGCGTCATTTCGCTGCCGAAGCCAGACGTGAAATGAGGGTACTTGATGAAAAAGACATGCGTGTGCGGTGTATAAATAGCATGGACCATGTGTCCGCTAGGGCTTATAGTGAGCTAAAGTTAAGGACTAAAATTTTAGACCCCTTTAGTTCACTCGTGTGGTCTAGAGTTGCTCATTTGTGTGGCCTAGAGTTTTTGTGAGGTTGCTAACTTAGCGTTTTAGAGTTTAGACATTTTTTTAGCCTTAAAAACTAAAATGGTCTGAAATTTAGCCAGGTACTTATAGTTTTATTTTTCCTTCTACAACTACTATGATAGATAAAGTTAGTTCAACTGCAAAGACAACTTTCCCCCCAAATATTATATGTGCTCACGGAAGAAATGGCCAAATAGTACTGGTAGTTTTGTCTTGTCTCTATTTTTTCCCATGGATGGAAAATGGTGGTTGACGTTTCATATTGTCGGTCTTGGCACGGCGTCCTTTGAGATCCATGATCAACATGGTCTACAAAAGATTATATATGAAGAGGTTTGTTGGAAGTGGTGCTTCAGTCTCCTTCTCGAAGCAAACCGATTAGTTTATATAGGCTACCGGTTAGCAAGTTGATTAAACAACTTGAATAACTCTATCTACCTTCCCTCACTCTAGGTCTGTTCTAGCAAGTTTACAGGCTACCGGTTAGCAAGTTAATTAAACAACTTGATTAACTCTGTCTGTCTTCCCTATTTCAAGGTCTGTTCTACAACTCCTTTTAGACATCGCTAATGGTTAGGAGTAACTTAAGAGTTTTTTAATATCCTTTTCATGTTGATAGGATAGAGATTATGGTGGAAAAAAGCACTCCAGCAACTATTGTCATCAGAAATTCCTATTTTTTGCTAGCTAAATACGCACAAGATACATAGAGAAAATGTTGGAATATAGAAAAATATAGAGAATGATTTTTATTCAAATGACTCTCTAAATAAGGATTTAGAGAGTCTACATCCTCACTATTGACATCCGTTTTGCGATTTTGGGCATCAAAACGCGTCCAACAACCTGTATTTCTTGTTCTTCATTTTTTCCCCTCAACTCCATCCCGTAAAAATCGGTCGGTATATTTCCAGAGACGACGTTGCTCACCAACCTTGGACCCGCGAGTATTTCTGCGTGCGACCAAATCCCCTCCCCCACGAGGGCATCCCATTCCTCGAGGGCAATCAATCGTACAGTCGCGCTGCCAGCGCTGCGTCTGAGTTCTGATTGCGAAGGTTGTGCCGCAAATGCTTGTTGTGCCACTATGTTGTTTCGCTTTGCCATTGTTGTCACTGACTCGTAGCGGCAAACGGCATGCCGAGCACCCCAACTGCTAGCCATTGCCATCAACCCAACAAAGAAGAAAGACGTATTTGCAAATAGATTTCAACCTTCTTTTTTCTTTCAAAGTTTATTGAGTCAGAACAACCCTGTAAATATACGAAGAGCTAGATTTATAGTGGGTCTATTGTAGGGGATAAGCATTTTGAGAATCTAAAAGCAATTCCAAGAGATTTTTTATATTCTTTCTAATTTATAGGAATAAAGGTTTTGATGAAAAAATAGCATCCAATATTTTCTTTAATCAGATCTTTAGATATAGTTGTTCTCCATAAGATTTCTCGTTAGCCAAAGATGCGGTGTGAGAATGGCTCTTTAAAGTGTGTATGACAAAATCTGTTGGAGGATATAAAAATATAGAAAATTATTTTTACACTTAAATAACTTTTCAAACGTAGAGAGAAAACTTAAAAAACAAACTCTTGGAGATATTCTACGTAGCTAGCTATAGAGAGCCAATTTTATCGAGGTTGAGTTGCTCTAGGAAAGACTCGTTGCAAATGCCACATGGTATTTGTGTCACTCGAAACAAAAAGAAAGAGGAGTCAAGAATATCTCCATCTCCACATCGGATGAAAAGCCACGTTAGCTAGCTCAGAGATTCTGCCATTCCTCCCGCTAGCTCCTACTCGCGGCTCCGTCGACAACACCACTGAAACCCACAGCTCATAGGAACAAAAACGGTGGTGCGATAAGGGCGCTGCTGTTGGCACTGGGCCGGCTCCGAGCGGTGGGCGTACTCAGATCCGCACCCCTGAGCCACCCCTCCCCCTTCTCCGTCGTGCCACGTCGGATTGCGGGCCCTTGGGCTACGACGGTGCTCGGGCGACGCGGGATCTGGGCTGCCATTGGTGGGCTTTTCTTTGATTGATTGCGAACATTTTGTTTTGATACGCTCTGTTCCTCCTACTCGTCCTTGTCCGCCTCGTCCTCGCCGTCGTCGTCGTCGTGCCTTTGACCTGAATGCTTAGATTGCATTCTTTCTGGAACTGAGGGAGTACTTATTTGTGTATATTTCCACATCCCCTAAACCCAAACCCTAGATCGAATCGAGGCTGCGCACGGACCATTTTCTGAATCTGTTGTCACTTCACACTGCCACC